GTTTCCCGTAAATGGAAGAGTCAGCGAGTTCTAGTAAATTAACAATTCTAATCTAAAAGGTCATTCAAGTTTTCGTTTGGTTCATTACGGTTCTTGTTTTCCTGAGAATATGATATTTGACTGGATAAAGAAACGCGAAACAGATTGCAGTGGTGTGATACGTTCTGTGAATGTTTACTATGCGGCAAACTTCATTCATGCGGTTCAGATGGATGCACGTCATGCAACAATTGTGTAGTAGTAAGTAAGTTCTAGAAACAAATAGTTTCGGAGGCTTCATCTTGAATGTAAGCATTGTGAAGGTGTTTGCTCACGCGTCTGCAGAAGATTGCTAAAGGCGACAAACCTACCTGACATACTTCTCGAAAAGCAATATATATTCCAACTTTGTCATTCTGCCCATTCTTCAATAGATTTAAGGTCCTTCCGACGATCACTTGAGTCTACTTCGCTACTTATGGACTTGGAGATCTTTATATTGTCTGCGTATATCAGTACCACTGAGCTACTTTTATCTAGACGGTCATAGATTAATATTAGGAAGAGGAGTGGATCTAATATGGTGCCGATTGAAACTCTTGATTTCGAGACTCACCAACTCATATGAACTAGTTTCAACTCGCTACGAAACCTGATGTCATGGCATTTTCTGAGCCAAGAACATCAAGTTAATCACCAAAGTGCGTTTAGTGACTTTTCTCTATAATACGGGAATGAACTCGCTGAGCCCCTTGTCATTCTAACAAACAATTTTATGGAAGTTATCCATTTCACATCATACGAAATTTGGCTACTTAGCCTGATATTATAATAGATGACACAGTGTGTCCAATGCGGCGCACTTTCCATAATAGCAATTTTAAATTACTGCATTGATCTTCATCTCATATTTCAGAAGTTGTGACAACCTGATACGATAGTTTCATGGATCTTGCAGAGATACTGTTTATTAACAGGATGTAGACTATAGTTTTCAGCAGAACACAGAATATCATCTTACAATCATCTTAGATAACCATAGCAGTGCTAATAGAAGGAAGGGCAGGGTTACGGACCAGCAAGCATAGACAGTGAGGGTGATGACCTCAGTCCACTCACGTTTGTGGGGCAGAACATTTCCCTTCCCTCCATGCCTTTTTGATAGAGGACGTGAGGTGTAATAAGTGATGCTGAGGTTGCCCTCATACGTTTGCTACTCCATAGACTAAAGTTTCCAGTTTCATTCTATGATAGCAAAGCTACTAAAACAAGTTGCAGCATGCTTACTCAGGCACCAACATTATGACCTAGAGGTTGACAGTTGATGAAAATATTTACACAAAGAGCATAAACTTTATTCTTCTTGCTGAACGTACATCCAGCTTCTTACATCAACTTTCCTCTTAATGCTTGGACTCTATCCTTCTTGACACATATCGCAATTGATTATTCTTCGTTGTTGTACTCCCTAATTCAAAGACTATCTAACTGAAATTCATTTTTGTTTTAGCAAATAGTGCGAGTAATATCTACTTACTTACTAATACTTCGCCTGCTCTACCATAAACGGTTTTAATTATGGCCTTGTCATACATCCAACTATCTATCCCCTCATTTTACTTTTTCTTCTTTGCTTTCTTTCAGAAGCTTATCAGCAATGCACAACCATGTTACTTCTCTTACTCATAACAAACTAATTGCTTTTTTAAGGTTATAATTCATTCCACTTGATACTTTCAAACAATTATGAACTTACTAACCTATTACCCTGCAAATAAATCTCATTTATCAACGTCACGAAAATCACCGAAGAAATCTGCAGTGTAACTACTTTATTCGTAATCACTTGTTGAAAATGTGGTTATATCAAATTGTTCATGTCGGCAAAATAGCGGAATTTTGCTATATCAGAAAAACTTATAAGAAACCTAACTGACCAACCTTTTTCCACCACTGTGGCTGCATTTGTAACAATGCAATCTGTTCTGTAACATTGCATACCTCATGTAAATTACAATTAATTGACAGCAAGTAATATCGTTATTGATGTCTGTTTATAGTGGGTGTCAGGAATGTAAAAGACCGAAAGTATGTTCAAAGGGCTGTTGTGATATCGAGTGGTGAGCTATTTAAGCTGGCAGCTGATGCATAGCACGCCCTACCCAATGGTGATCCTGTGTGAATGCCTGGCACAGCGTAGTCAGCTGTGTCCACCAAAACAAATTAGGTTAGCATTAGTACCCATGCGTCAAAGGACAACTTATTTCGAGGATTTATTTACAACTACAGGGCTTACCTCTAAGAAGACGTCATTTCTGAAATTAAGATTCTTTGTTGGTTTAGGCCATCATAAACCACTTTGATATTTAAAGTTTGTTAGTTTACCAAAAATGATGTGTTAGACGGAGACATATCACTGGCAAAATGAATTCTAAATTATCTGCTGAGAAATAGCATTAAATAATTATTTGCTTTATCCAGGACTTCGTTATCCAGATAGTCTGTGATTGTTTGAATGATTTCCTGTTAGCTAATCTAAAACATGACCAAACGAACAATAGAAAAATTTGGTTTGTCCTCAAAATATTGGGAAGTACACTGTTACTGAAGATGATTCAGCATCAAGTATATCATTTCCAAAATATTCATCTCCTCTTAATCGCAATAAACTTGTGAAACAAAAAAACCCGGAAATAGTTGAGCCATATATTACTATCGGTATATGAAATGCCGGAAAAAAAACAGTTACTAAAAGTAGTGTCAATGAAAGAGAAGTCACTTTAATCAGGAAGTGAATTTTACTACATAGCAACTGCAGCGTATATTGGAGCACAGCTCAAAATTTGAAATGAAGAATTAGGAAAAAATGCAACATTCCCAGATAGCTCACTGAGAGAACTGAGGTGCAAGCTGGGAGAGACCAGGAATACATGTTCTCTGATGGATCTGAAGATCATAAACTCAAATGAAACGTGGCCTTACCTCGACAATGAAAACGACGTAGGCTAGCTTTTGCAGGACTAACTTCGTAAGTAACAGGGTACACAAGACATAAGATGAAGTGGCAAGAGATATCGACAACCAGTTTAAAGACAACTTCACATAGCAATCGACTAACCGACTTGACAGAACCATAACGGTGTTGCTATAAAAAAAACTGAACGAGCTACTAGATTGGAGTGACTTACCAGCCCTCCTCAGACACTAAATCCTGGAAGGATAAGTTGATTGAGACAGCAGTTCAAATGCCATACCTAGGTTTGACATCATACTCATTGCTTTCAACACTCCTTTCCTAAACCTAAACAGAGGACAACTCCGACACAGGTTAGTTCTTGTCACAGCCATTAGAAGTTCCGAACAAACTGGGCATACTTGTAACGCCACCGGATGAAGTAAGCATGGAAAACACGTAAACATAAGTCTATTTGTTGACGAACGATCAGTTCCACGTCCAGGTCGTCCATATCCACACACCAGTGGGGGGAAGTGACCAAGCTACAGTCAATTTTAACATGATCATAGACAAAATACTCAGTGAGAACGAAAATGAGTCCTAGTTCTGAGACATGTCGAACTAATATGAGAAAAACGTCTCATGGCCATGAAAATGCTGGAGGTTGACAGTAGAGTAACGCTGTCTTACATATTGTACCTTGTAAAAACTACAAATATGGAAAGAGACAAATGAGGGTTAGGTTAGGCATAGACCGCTTGCTGAAGTCGAGAAGGAGAGCTCAACACAAGAAGAAAGTCTCTCTAAAGGACTCCGACCGCAGTTACAAGTGGCATTCAGAAACATAACATGCCGAAATCCGCCGAGATAGGAGACACAAACAGATGAAACTAGGTGTCAGAATGCAGGCAAGTCCTAAATATTTTCCAGGTTCATGAATAAAATAGAACCTTCGAACCGACTGTTTGTGGCGTAAAACGTCTAAATAATGCTAATCTTACCAGTTTTGAGCTGGCTAAGGCCTTTAATGACAACTTCACCGACCAGTTAAACATGGTCAAAGTACTACACAAACTTAAAACCATCTGTGAACCCAGAGAATATCTTACTCACTACTCACATAGTGATAAGGAAACTGAAATCACTTCGTTCAGCGAATTCACCAGGATCTAACAGTATTCTCCCTATAATCTTGATATAGAGAGTGGAAGCACTCGTTTCACCGTTACGTGACCTGTTTAAGCATTCACTAGAGCCACACCAACTTGCGGCTTAGTGGAAAAAAGCTACTATGTCTCCACTCTCGAAGGAAGAGGCGGTAATGATCCAGCTCGCCTTAGACCATTCACATTAATACTAACGCTATCGAAGTTAATTGAACGGCTGATGAATATGTAAATGAGTCAGTACGTGAAAAAGACCAACATCCTCCATGAGGCAAGTTATGCGCATCAAAATTACTCATTCTGAGACAGCTGCTTGGATCAAACAATTCCAGTTCATATAATATCCCTTGAATTCAAAAAGGCTTCCAACACTGTACTCCTAATTTTTAAGTTTGCTAAGATGGGCTTTACTGATCCACTTCTGTCTTGCCTCAGAAACTACCTTAAGAATTGAAAATTTCGTTTCAAGGTAAGTATAGTGGATGAGAGCTACTGAGTCGTACTCCGTGGGTTTGACGGTACACCCTTCTATTTCCATTCCGTTTACCGAACTTCATTCATGACCGATTTGACAAAATTAGCTCAGTCATTAAACTATGCCAACAATGCGCGGATCTGGTGGCTCATAAGAAGCGAAGGGAACTCAAATGAGTTTCAAAAGGACTTAATAACAACAGAGTAATAGTCTCCAGGAACCCTACTACCTTGAGACAACACACTCAAATCAAGGGACATAGAAATTCATAAAGAACTGCCAACTGACTAGAAATGGTGCGGTCGAGTTGGTAGATTAGCATTCATTGGACAATGCTAAATACCTGTAACCGTACAGGAACGTCAAAAGCGAGAACAAAGATACTATCTAGTTTGTAATAGTCGTTGGAGAAGATTTGGGATATTGGATATTGGAAACATCAGGGCGGCAAATCGATCTCGATGATTATTCGTGTACAATCCCCAGTCGGAATAAAAAGGATAGAATTGCTGGAAACTGATAACTATGATAAACTTCTAAGCCTGGTATGTGAAAAATTCGCTATTGGCCGCAATGATGGTTGGTGCCTTTCGCGATCTCCCAGCCAGTCTGAACGGCTGAATTGCAGTCTGAATACACGTTTGTCGAAATTAGGTTTAAGGTACTGCTCACCACTTATATTTATTTTTTATCAGACACGGCGACCTTATTTTTCTCTCAAACCACACTAAAAGTGGAGAAACAGTCGGTAATGAAGATCAAGTAAGCGATTCCAGGATGCATACATGTAATCGTTTGGTAGCTTACATTTGTTATTATTGTACGACATTACATAAACTTCTTAATCGAAAGAGAAACGCATACTAATGGTTAACTTTATGAAACGGGTATGTATACGAAAAGTGGTTTGGTCCATTCGTAAATACAATAGTCCACCTATTATTTACCACTCATGTATGTGTGAATGTGATAAGATTAGTCTTATTTCATGCCTACTTTAAAAAAAACGTTTCGTAGCGCTAAGGCAATAGACAGTAGACTGGTGCTCTGCAGTCTGTATTCGTACTTTTTGCTACTGTTCTGATATGTTGTGATACAGTATGTTATAACGAACTAGTTTTAGGACTGGCTGATCCATGCATTGTAAATCCCTACATCTTACTTTTTGTCGTGTGATGTTGCCTACTCTTGTCTGGGTTTTTGAAAAGGACTATCGTCTGTGTGTAGATTTGAAGCGTCTGGCATTGTAACTGGTGAATTTTTTAACATTGTAAATATGGTTATGGGTAAACATTTGAAATCTCAGATACAGGATATTGACTTTGTCTAAATAACATAGTAAACTTCCTTGTTCATCACATATGGTTTTTTGATCCTACTGAATGGAGAATGTCGTTTGATTTTTGGCATTATCATTTTGTAGTGTAAAAGAATTGAGTTATAAAACAAATTGGGTGGAGATACATTTAGAGGCTGGAAGATATATGAGTGTATAAGTTGTTCTCTGTTTAACAACATAAAGTGTATGTACTAGTCACAACGATCGGTCTCACTCATAATCCCTGTATTCTGTTACTAAGATAGGGAACATTTTGTTCAACTAAAGTTGTACTGAACTTGATTTTGAACAAATTCTTTTCTATTTTCCACGTTGTTTGATGTTATTTTCATTTCGACACTGTTTCTTATGTTTTGTCGATCCAAAATGTGCAATGTTAACCGATACTCGTCTCTATAAGGTCCCATTTCATTTTTGCCTTACGCCTGTTACCCCAATAGAGCGCAGGCCGCCGAACAGCATTCGCCAAACTATTCTGTCTTGTAGCCCTTCCGGTGTTACTGTCGGTTCCAAGCCCAGATGAAGGAGAAGGGTTGAGCACGTGGTCAGCGACCCCATTCCGTTGAAACTCAACTCTCTAAAAACACTGGTCATAAATATTTTTGTTTTCCGCAACTCAGTTTTGATCCAGTTGTTGTAAATCGGTACTACGTTTTGATCTCGTAATCTGTAACACATTTTAGTTTGTTTCTTACTCTAAATAAGACAATGGCTCTTTGTGCATAATACAAGTGCCTGGTATTTCAGTCAACGAATCTCAATTTCATCCATCCACTTCTTTATATGGATTTCCTATCTAGTCTCAACATAGTCCACATCTTAAGGTCTTCTTCTGTTGATCATTATTTTTGTAGTCTTCCGGTTGAATGCTGTGAACCTAGATTTTTATAAAGCCCTATTTATAGTACTCAAGAAAGATGCTATCAATGGAATTCACTCATTACCAGTTATACGTTGTATCAAAATTCTTCATGCTTGAAATGTATACTTCGATCACTTATTAGGTAGTAATGTCATGTTTATCTAATCTGTGGTAGTGATCAGATTCTATGGAGCAAGTGATTCATTGTCTACATTCGCGTTTTATTGGCACAAACAATAACTCGGATGTACAAACCATTAAACTATTTTGTAACAGTTAAACGTTAAACCTGTGTAATAATCGAGTGTGGGGTTAAGGTGTGGTTACTTTCATGCATTTTCCATGAGTTCTGAAATACAGTCGAACAACAGACTGGAATGGTTATATACAAGGGAGAAAATAAAGATAATATGGTTTACTGCACACCGACCAACAGTTCGATTTAAGCAAATAAAATTGAGTAGCATTTGATATAAATAAATCAATTACTTCATGTAAGATCTTTTGTAGGCTACGTTAGGAAGGATTTGATTTCGACCAATTTGGTCTCGTGTGCTGTTAAGGGTATGAGGGCGGTTATCACTTCCCGGCTGTTCACACCGTGGAAGATTGTTTCTTGAGGGACCTGAAGAGGAAGATAGATTAGTGTTGGTCTTGGAGACTTGGGAGCGTGACCGCAGAGTCCAAGGGACAACTGCCTTTTTGTGAAAGGATTTTTAGGTATTAGCTCCGTTCTTAAAGGCCCTTAGTGGGCACCCTTATCGACGGAGACGGAAATCAGTGAGGTAGGGTGAGGTGTGACATTTTTAGGGTCGACCTTTTCTAACCGCTTCCTTCCTTGTGAGAAGGCAGCATCGCTGCAGATGCTGGTTGTCCCGAGGTAAACACCTTACTGCTGTCACACCCCTCTGCAGTCAGCAGTACGACTTCGCCCTGAGACCTTGGGTAGCTGCTTTTAGTCTCATCGTTCTCCAGTCGACCAGCCTGTCATGGTAGGACCTGCAGGAACATATTTTCCAGCCAGTATAGCTCGGTTGGGTCATCACAATAGGCAAGCCCGACCACCACGTCAAGGTAGCAGCTACGGTCACCACTTTAGTGGCACGCGATCTGACTCCAGTTTGGATGAATGATATCATATGCTATGAAATAAATCTTCCTTTTGATTTCTGTATATTATTCTTAGACGAACCTGTTTTTTTTGCGTCGGCGGTATTAAAAAGCCAAGTGGATTTATTTCATGTATTCATTTAAGCAGATATACATGAATAAAAAGTGTACAAGCAAAGCCAAGCCAAGTGAATCAGAGAGAAGGCAAATGAACCAACTCAATGATATAACTCGTGTAAATAAGTATTTATAGTTAAACGAAAATAAACTAGACATGCGATAAGCGAAGTAAGCTTGCACATCCTCATATAAAAACAACCAAGTTTGTAAGTGAATAATAGACGAGGTCAACAAACGTGTGAATACTAATGACTCAGTCAGAGAAAGTTAATTAGTTTGTCCGAAAGCTAGGACAAACTATGTAAGTTCAACATAATGTTACATACGCTACTGATCCACAGTTTACAATAATATCATAAGATTAAGCTACTAAAACCAACAATACTCACAAATGTACTAAATTACATTAACTAAACCTTCTCAATATTGTTTCACTACAATAATCTATGTTTTTAAACATTTAGTTCTCCGATGATAAATAGCGTAAGGACTACTGGTAAAGTCGATTAATTCCGGAGTAATATTGTAGTGAAAGAGAACACAGGTGAGGGCAACCAAATTGTATTTAACGAAAATTACAGAGTTACTCAGTAAAATCGGAAAACCATATCGCGTAAATCGTTCATTTGCAAAATATCAGTTCATCATATCGAACTGGAGGACTGTTCCTGTTGCGAAACATCAATCCATTGTCACTATTCATGCGTTTCATACAAATTTCATTGTGTTCTTCTAACTCTTCCTTTCTTAATCTTCACCCCATCTTCTGCTGCAACCAGACATTACGTTGACGCTCACGTCATATACTACTACTTATAAGTAGCTCACACCACAATATGACTAAATATGTCTCTTGCGCAAATCCTATAAATTGGCGTGCATATATATATATATATATATATATATATATATATATATATATATGAATGTAATACACTTGGTCATTAATATATTCTAGTCAATATAAAGAAATTTACCGATTATTTTTATCCAATATTTTTTTCTTTATCAAACTATGAATTATTAAATTCATAATTATAGAAACATGATTCTAACTCTAATTGGTTAACTACAAGTAGCTCATTAATAGAAGATAAAGTTGATCAAGAATTAGCTAAAATGGATGGTCGTATACATCGGAAAAGAAATCAACAATTGTAAGAGTTATTGATTGATTGGTTTATTTTGTATGTAATATGAAATAGGTGTCTTATTTATTTAATAGAAAAATGTACTTTATATATATAAACTAATGAATCAGGACTCGTAGGTTACTCTGGTTTTCGATCATAGGTATCTTCGAAGCATTGCTCGTATATCGTGGGACACCCGAGTGAGCAACGCTGTTATTAGGAAATGGGTGCTAGTTAATAAGAATGGTAGACCAATAGATGAAGTAATGAAAATTCATCAGTTGAGGTGGTTGGGACATGTGCTGCGTGTATGCCTAACCACCGACTGCCTCGACGAGCTTTGTTTTGTAGTGTAGGAATAGGTTGGAAGAAAGCTAGGGGCGGCTAAACCAAAACATGGCAGAAATCCATGAAGTCATTGATTGACGAGTGGACTTAGCCATGTCAGTAGTTGTCGACTACCTGATTGGGGTCCGAGAGATGATAGTAATCGATGGTTAGAGACCATGAATGACATGGCACAAAACCGTTTGCAATGGCACCGGTGCATTTATTCTTTGTATTCTCTCAAATCCTAATCTTCTGGATTCGTCAACACCTCTACACATTTTTTTTTCTAAACTTTTGCTCACTGAATCATACTTCTTGAATAATATCTTCTAATCATAACCTCTCCGATTACTTCTAATACCTTTACCACCTTTACTACTATAGGATTTGAATTGATAATTGCATCCTTGTGCTAATGTTGTGGTATGGCAACATGAGCTGATGTACCTACGTACGTACTTAGTTCTACGTTTCTATCGATTGATTGATTGATTGATTGATGAATAAAAAGTATAATTAAACAAGTGTCTAAAATATGAAAAAAAAGACAGCCAAAATAGATTTCATTCATTTCAATCACTTATCTTAGATTTTTTTTAGTGAAAAAAGAGTACACTACACTGTCAGCTCTACCAGATCTTGTTTTAAGCACCATGTCAAGATTTTATGTCTGTTATAATAATTCACTTAGTTACCAAGTAAAGATCTATGTACTACTTATCTTGAGCTATAAAAGTCTTGTATGAGAATTAAAACTATTGCCATGCTGTTTAAGCCTAGTTAGATAGATTGTTGTATGAACTTATCATGTATTAGTTTACAGTTGAATGGCTTCACTAATAAGCTACTTCATCTGAGCCACGATGTCATGGCAAAGTAACGAATGGTAATTCATTGTGATTATTTCTTATCTGATGACTTCACGGGTTGAATTGATCATTGCTACTGCTTTTCACCCAATGTCAGCAGTCAGTCACAATGTAGAACTTCGTACGTAAGTACGTACGTACATCAGTTCAAGTTGCCATACCACATTTGCACAGAGATGCAATTGTCACTTCAAATCGCATTATAGTAGAGGTAATAGAAGTATTAGCAGTAATTAGAGAGATTAGGGTTCGAAGATATTATTCAAGAATTAGAATCTAGTGAAAGAAACTTAAAAAGAAAAAGATAAAGGTGATGAGGAATTCAGAAGGTTAGGATTTGAGACAACGACACAAAAAATGAATGCATCTGCGTCATTGCAAACAGTTTTGAGCCATGTCATCCAGGGTCTCTAACCATCAATCACCCAATATAAGCATCGGTTAGCGAGAGTTACAGAGACTAGTATAACTTATGCTTATAGTCAGCGTTTAGCTCTTAAAAATTTGTGAGTGTACTTTATATAGGATGGTTATCTTTTTTTCCACATACTAAGTTATATTTATTAGGCGCTTTTTCGTTTGATTTTCAGATGTCACCATCCTGTATCTGGACAATGTATCCACTGTGTTCCACTTGAGGTAAGTTAATTATAACTCAATTATAAATTGAAATTGCTATGCGTTTTCTGATCCTCGAGCTAAATTAAATAGTTTTTATTTGAGGTAGTCATTACATATTTGTTGTTCAGGATAGATTTTTTCAGCGTAAGACAAACTTGTCATTTTTGAATATGTATGTGTCTCGTGTGCTGTTACGAGTATGAGGGTGAATGTCACTTCCTGGCTACCCACACCGTGGAAGGGTGTCTCTTGAGGAACCTGAAAAGGAAGGTAGATTAGCGTTGGTCCTAGAGACCTGGGAGCGTGACCGTAGAGCCCAAGGGACAGCTGCTTGAGGCCGGTCACGCACGGCCTTTTTGTGAAAGGTTTTTTGAGTATTAGCTCCGCTCTTAAAGGCCCTTAGTGGGCACCCTTACCGCCGGAGACGGAAATCCGTGAAGTAAGATGAGGTGTGACATTTTTAAGGTCGACCTTTTCTAACCCTTCCTTCCTTGTGAGAAGGCAGCATCGCTGCAGATGCCGGTTGTCCGAGGTAAACACCTTACTGCTGCCACACCTCCCTACAGTCATCAGTACGGCTCCACTCTCAGACCTTGAGTAGCTGTTTTTAGTCTCATCGTTCTTCAGTCGACCTGCCTGGTATGGTAGGACCTACCTGGTTCGGGTCCATGAGACGATAGTAACCGATGGTTAGAAACCTTGGACGACATGGCTCAATAATGTTTGCAATGGCTCTCAAATTCTAATCTTCTGAACTCTTCATCACCTTTTTATTTCACTAAATTATACTTCTTGAATAATTTCTTCGAACCCTAATCTTCTCCATTACCGCTAATATGTCTACTGTCTTGACCATTATGGGATTTGAACTGACATTTGCTTCTTTGTGCTAATGTGGGGTATGACAACCTGAACGTATGTACGTATGTGCCAGGTTCTAACTTGTAACAGCTGACTGTATCAAGCAATGATTCATGTTTTAGTTACAGTACATAAGATTGTCATAACCAATAAATAGTTGGAGACATGTAATGACGTAATATAAGAAATCAGTCACAATAACACAGATTTGTCCTTACACATTGAAATCATCAATCAATCATTTTTAAAACATCATTAGAAACCTAGGAGCACTGAACGGACGTTTCCTCCTGTTATGAGATCCATCAGCAGTGCACATCCACGACTCCTGCACCTTACGGGGTTTGAACACAGGGCCCTACGGTCTTGCGCGCGAACGCCTAATCTCTGAACCACTAGGCCGGCATTCACAGGTGTTCATGTCTAACTCTGAATCAATCTAGAGATTTTGTGCGACCTCTGTCATGTGTCTTCAGTAGTTACTGCTGCTTACATCCAACAGGGTTGAACTCCACTGTGTTACGCCTGTACGTAAACACGTCAACTTGATATACTTGAACTATTACGAGTTTACCTAGTGAGAAAACGAGATCGAGGATCCGGTGACACGACATGCTACTCAAATCCGATTATCCCAACTCCCATATTAAGTAAAAATAAGAAGACTTGATGTGAAGTAGAACCTGTATTCTACAAACATCCAGAAAGTACGAGATCCGAATCCAGAAGAGAATCAGGATCCCGGACCGATCCCTGGTCATGGTCGTGGTCATAAAATGTTACAGATGATGAGTATTTATACATTTTGGTCGAATAGGAAACAGCATCAAAGTCTGTGGCATTGACAGTTTAGGACGACCAATAGGAAGTAACATTTGAAGTGACATTGATAGCCAGGACAACCAATAAGAAAGAACACATTTGAAATGACATTGACAGTCTGGATGACCAATAAGAGACAAAATTGAAGTATTTGACTTTGACAGTTAAAACGACCATAATTTTGACCAATAATACTCTTAGGATATTGGATGAATATCCTAACACACTGGTCACGTCTTCTCACTAGAACTCCGTGTATTTCGCTCACGAAGCTAGTCACCCCCCTAGTGAGCACATTTTACGATATTTTCAATTAGACTTATGTAGATTAATGTCTAACAATGATTGATCGATTGATTGATTAATTGATGATTTCAATGTGTAAAAACACTAATAATCTCCATAACTCCAATTGAAAAATACAAATTTGTTCATCTTTGTTGTATCTTCACATAGATTCTGAGTTTTGATCTTTTTGTTTGTAAATACCTTCTATTCTACAAATCGATCGATTGATTGATTCATCCATTTTTCTTAAACTAGATTCTTGATCTGTATTATTTTGTTTTTATTATCATCGATACTACTTACTAGTAAACAGTTTTATGACATTATTATTATTATTATTGTTATTCCGCTTGAGATTATTTTCATCATCTGACAACTGTAAACAATTTTTTTGGTACAGTAACTTGAATCAATAAACACTTGTATTGTTTGTTTATAATTCAATTGAAGTTTATTATTTTTTCTTTAAATAATGATCAAAAAACGCTGTCATAACAGACAGACAGATAAGACAGATATAACACAGAACTTCGTACGTAAGTACATCACAGTTCAGGTTGCCATGCACCATCAGCACAGAGACGCAACTTTCAGTTCGAATCCAGTAGTGATAGAGATAATAGAAGTATTAGCAGTAATGGAGAAGATTAGGGAGAGTAGATATAATTCGAGAAGTATAATTCAGTCTGGTAAATTTAGAAGGAGAAAGATAGAGATTATGAGGAATGCAGAAGCTTAGAATTTCATAGAACACAAAGAGTGGATGCACCTGCGCCACCGCAAACGATTTCGAGCCATGTCATTCAAGGTCTCTAACCATCGGTGACTATCGTCTCGCGGACCCCAACCAGGTGGCCTACATCTACCAACATGACTCAGTCCACTTGTCAGTGACTTCATGGATTTGTGCTATGTTTTGGTCTGGCCGCCCCTAGCTTTCTTCCAACCTACTCATACACTGCAAAACATAGCTCGTCGCGACAGTCGGTAGTTGGGCATACATAACACATGTCCGAAGCACCTCAACTGATGAAGTTTCAATACCTCGTTTCCTAACAACAGCATTGCTTACTCGGTACACGAGCAATGCCTCAGAGACACCGATGATTGAAGACTAGTAACCCACGAAAGTCCTCTACCCTTAGCGGCTATGTTTCGCATCCGTTTAATAGAACGGAGCAAACTACTGGACGGTACACTCGTCCTTTGGTTAGCAAGCGGATATTTTGCCTGCGCTATAGTTGATGCAGGTTGGCAAAAGCCGCTATCATAACATTACACTTTCATTCGTAATAAAGACAATTTCATGTTATACGGTGTGTATAATTTTGTTTAGTTTAATTATCGAATTTAAGGCAAAAGGAAGTCTGTATTTCACATGAATGCTTCATGATGATGATGATGATGATGATTACTACACAATCATTAGAATATACATTCTGATTTATAAAATTCTCAACATCTATGATTGCATATGTTACGCCGGTCAATTGATATGCTGGAAACTACTATTACGAGTTAACCTTAGTCGGTAAACGAGAGCGAAGACAAATGATCCAGTGACACGATAAGCTACTACTCCAATCCAAGCGTCCCAAGGCCCCCCAATAAGTAGAGGAAGAAGTCTTGATAAGGCGTAGAAAGTATATTCTACCAGCACACAAATCGAGTTTAATTCTACAACATGATAGAAACGTCCTTGGGAGAGCCACAAAAACAGCGTACTAAAATAATACATCAACCAATAACAGTCAAGGAATTTCCGAGTGGGAAATGTAATCTCAAGGTCAACCGATCAGTTCATGCGTGAAAACACAGAAACCAAAATTAGGACCTTTCACAAGTGAGTTCTGGTGATCTAAAGTCACCAACAGCATAGTTCACTTGTTGAACTGATTACCATCATATAAATTGGATTTAGCAAGTAAAGTATAATTGAATTAAGTATGGATATTTTGATTTGAATTGTTTAAATATTGCATTTTCTGCAACAACAAATGACAACTACTGTTGACAAAATTAAGTAGATAAGTGAATTTTAGTAATACAATTGAATGTTCTATGGTAATCGATGATTGGGGATCTTGAATGACATGGCTCAAAATCGTTTGCAATGGCACAGGTGCATCCAGTCTTTGTGCTTTCTGAAATTCTAATCTTCTGAGTTCCACTTAACCGTGTTTTCACTTTTTTTAAAATTGATTTCTCTGTGATATACATCTCGCATGATATATTCGATCATTAATCTATCTGATCACTGCTAATACTTCTACTACCTGTATTACTATGGGATTTGAATTGGCGATTGCGTCTCTTTGCTTATGTGGTATGGCATCTTGAACTAATGTACGTACATACGATGTTCTATGTTGTAACTGTTAGGATATTCATCCACTAGCCTAAGAGAATTATTGGTCAATTCCTACTGGTCAATTTTACGGTCGTCCCAGACATCTGTCACGTGCTCCAGTGTTGTTTCCTATTGGTCGTCCTAACTGTCAATGTTACAAACTTCAATGTTGTTTCCTGACATGGTAGAACCTTCAGGAGCATGCGTCCTAGCCAATATTGCTCGGTTGGGTGACCACGATAGACAAGCCCGATCACCACGTCAAGGTAGCAGCTACGGTCGGAATGTGCGTATTGATGATTTATCACACGATGGTTTATTGTTTTCGTTTAATTAGTGAGTAGTATAGTAGTAGTATTAGTATAGTCATAAATAATATCCAATGGTATTGTGTTAGTCGCAGTTATTTTTTTTCATTCTAACTTATAGCCATTTGATTCAGCCTATTTGGAACATTTAGATCCTCCAGTGAAATTTATGTCATTTCATGCATATTTACGTAAATTAACTGGTGGACAAAGCAAGTAAGTTTTAATTTGTTCTAGTATCTTCGATTTATCATGTAGTAGTATCATTTCATACACCTATGTGGCTTAGGGTTAGCTTTTGATCATAGTAATTCATCAAATCTATCTGAGATCTTGTATCGATATACACATATATATATTTCACTTTTCCAGTTGTTTGTTTATAATCTTCATCAGTGTTCTTCTGTCTTATATTCGTAATCAACCAACATGGTTGCAGTACAAGCACTTATGACTGCTCTTTACATATCACAAAGGTTAACACGACTACCGTAATTTGATCATACCCTGAAGGCTACGTACATGTTGTTTAATTTCTGCCACAGGTCAGTCGGAAATCCAATCAGTATATGCATGAATAGTCACCCTTGTACGGGTACTTATGTATCAACTTGATCCCTCCGATCAAACCACTTTCCCCACCCAGCTAGAACTAGCAACCCATGTACGGGTTACCGAAATGCCCAACAATGCACTAACCAGTAGCCAGTTCAAACAACTAGTATCCAACTCCCTCATGTATAAGACAATCGACCGAAGCCCTCGAAACCTCACATAAAGCCAAGGATCGATTATCTCGCGAGTTCAGCCAGAATGTACATCTTTCGTTGGGGTAGCTATCACGTACTTGACCGAGCGCAAGAGTTCGACCAAGCTAGGCTATTCCCACCGCGGTGGATAGACAGAAACCATATGCAGTCAAGCGCCAATGAGCGCAGAACCCCATCCGCTTAACTGGAGACTTGTTTAAGGGTTTCGACGCCAGTTGACATACTACATTGGGGCACAGAGTGTTTGGGGCAACCACATATTCCAGGATCTGTAGGGCTGCTTCCCTGAACAAATCGTCCAGAGCCGCCTTAAAAAAGCTGGAAGGCATACACCCCTTTAAAGGTATTTGCCACTAAAAAACCTTGGGCCACACTGAATGTTGCCCACCCGTCAATTCCTATAAGTTTCAGACGACATTCGGCCTCAGCGTTGTAAACAACGCCACGCTGTCTAGTGACACCATGAAGAGATAGAAGCAAATAAACAGCTTTTCATTATATTAAAAAAATATATTTCTTCATAAATGATAATAAATTGCAGTACCGTAATTAATATACAATATGTTAGACCATCATTGGAAACCTAGAAGCACTGGACACCCGATTCCTCCTTGTATTGGACCCATCGACAGTGCGCATCCACAATTCCTGTACCTCGCAGGATTCGAAGCCAGGACGTTTGATCCTGCGCGCGCACGCCTAACCTCTGTACCACTGAGCTGGTATCTAACGTGGATGTGCACTGCTACTAATAAGTCCCATACCAGGACGAAACGGCCGTCCAGTGCTTCCAGGTTTTTAACGGTAGTCTAACATTGATCGATTCATGATTTCCACAACCCCCATAATGTCATATACAATCTACATTGTATGTTTTCTCAGCCACATAAAAAAAAATGAAAGCACTTCTCCTATCTATAGTTAATTATTTATTTTTTTATTTATAGAGGAAAATTTTCATGTTTAGAAAATTTAAGTTGTCATATTCGTCCCGGTTGTCGTGATCATCCACCATGGCCTGATGGAATTTGTACTAAATGTCAACCGAATCCAATCACTCTAGAAATTCAACCATATCGTCATGTAGATTTTGTACAATTTGAAAATCCTCAATTAATGGATAGATTTTTAGATTATTGGCGACAGACTAGTTGTCAACGTATTGGTATTATGCTTGGTCGTTATGCACCATTCGATGCACCAAGTTCACCACCATTAGCTATAAAAGCAGTTGTAGCAGCAATTTATGAACCAGCTCAAGTAAGGCATTAGTTATCTTTCTGTTTGGAAATGATGTTTTGTTTCAGTTTTAGGCTTTTCGATAGATAGATAGATAGACATGTATGTCTCTTAGCACTACTACTCTTTATGTAACCCGACCACCATAACTGCTACCTTGACACGTGGTGATCGGGCTTGCTTATCGTGAAGACACAACTGACCTATATTAGGTTCTACTACTATGCCACCCAGGTCGATTGGAGAACGGTAACACAGAACCAAATCGATGATATCTGTATCAATAAAACGTTTAGAAGGACCATGGAGGTCGTGAGAACCAAGAGAGCAGCTGATGTAGCCTCAGATCACCACTTGCTGGTGTTACGCCTGCACGTAAACACGTCAACTTGATATGTTTGAACTATTACGAGTTTACCTAGTCAGAAAGCGAGAGCGAGGATCCGGCGACACGACATGCTACTCAATTCCGATTATCCCAACCCTCATATTGAGTGAAAATAAGAAGACTTGAATGTGGAGTAGAACCTGTATTCTACAAGCATCCAGAAAGTACGAGGTCCGAGTCCAGAAGAGAATCAGGATCCCGCACTAGGGATCCGGGACTGGGTCCTGGTCAATAAACGTTACAGATAATGCGTATTTATACATTTTAGTCGAATAGGAATCATCGTCGAAGTGACATTGACAGTTAAGACGACCAGTAGGCAGCAACATTTGAAGTGACATTGATAGTCATGACAACCAATAAGAAACAACACTGAAGCACGCGACATTGATATCCAGGACGACCATAAAATTGACCAGTAGGAATGAACCAATAGGAATTGACCCATAATTCTCCTAGGATATTGGATGAATATCCTAACAGCTGATCTCCAAAATGAAACTGAAATTCAAGAGGCACTGGACAACGGGGCGGAGAACATAACAAAAGTTTAATGCGGCCTTTATTTGGGTTACTGACAAACTTAACGAATTTAAGATAGCCCTCAGCAATAGGTTCCAGGCTTTTCACGATCTTGATATAAAGTAAACTACCTTGGAGAAAAATTGGAAACGGATCAAGGCGGAAATCACTTCAACATGTCAGGAGGTTCTGTTCCACAAGATATACCATCACAAGGAATTGATCTCTGTTTGTTCTCTCGAAAAAATTCAAGAAAGGAGGAACAAGAAGGCAGTAATCAACATCAGCCGAACAAGTGCAGAGAAAGCCAAGGCACACACTGAGTACACATTCTTTTCAGAAAAATTTGGGATGAAGAACAAGTACCAACTGACTGAAAAGAAGGATACCTGATCAAAATACCAAATAAAAGTGATCTCAGCAAGTGTGAGAACTACAGAGGCATCAATGTTCTCTCATTATCAGACATAGTCTTCTACAAGGTATTGTTAAACAGAATGAAGGATTTCATAGACCCCCAAATTCGAGACCAACAGGCTGCGGGTAAAGTCGTACTGCTGACTGTAGAGGGATGTAACACCAGTAAGGTGTTTTTTTCAGACAACCAGTATCTGCCTTCTCACAGCCCGAAGAAAGGGGTTGGAAAAGGTCGACCCTAAAACTGTCGCACCTCACCTTACCCCATGGATCTCCGTCTCCGGCAGACGGATTGACTTACTTCTTTATCTAAAAACTTTTTGATATGTACGCACTCAACTAATTTATGATATTATATGATGGCATACATACATTTCTACTTTGTTGATTTTATAGATTACTTACTTACGCCTGCTACCCACAACAGAGCATAGGCCGCCGACTAGTTTTCTCCAACCAACTCTGTCCTTGGCTTCCCTTTCCAGTGTTTGTTCATTCTTCTCATATCTTTTTCTATTTCTCGGCGTAATGTGTTCCTTGGCCTTCCTCTTGTCCTTTTGCCTTGAGGGTTCCATGTGAGAGCTTGTCTTGTGACGCAGTTAGGTGCTTTTCGTAGTGTGTGTCCTATCCACTTCCACCGCTTCTTCCTTATTTCCTCCTCCACTGGAATCTGGTTTGTTCTCTCCTAAAATACGTTGTTACTGATGGTGTCTGGCCAACGAATCCGAAGTATTTTGCGAAGACAACTGTTCATAAATACTTGTATCTTCTGGATGATGGCTTTGGTAGTTCTCGAAGTTTCCGCTCCATACAATAGAACTGTCATGACATTTGTATTGAAAACCTTGATTTTAGTGTTGATTGAAAGTTGTTTGGAGTTCCAGATATATTTTAATTGTAGGAATGCTGCCCTTGCTTCGCGTATCCGCGCCCTCACATCTGCATCGGATCCACCTTGATTTTATAGATTAGCTAGACTTTTTTCCCATCTCTATCTATTGATCAAAAATATAGATTTTATTCATTCAGCTATACATTATTATCGTTTTTACATGTAAATCGGATAGATCAGTAGTGGTGCATTTTACTTTCTGCTATGATTGGCTGCTAGCTAACTAACTTCCTGATTGATTGAATAGAAGAAACCAATTGATACAATTGAATTCTTACATTATGATCATGTTATTAGTATTATTTTTCATGTGATGATAAACCTGTGCATTCATCATCTGACTATACTAGTTTTGATTACTAAGTTCTCAGGTTGTGTTAGTGGAACATAGATTGGATGAAAGCATGATTGCGTTGTTGCATGCTGATTGGCTCTTTCTTATCCAATCAGCGCTAGCCGATACCGCTGAGGGATCATTCTAGAATGTTCTCATGTAAGAAAACTATAAATATATGTTATAATGCTGCTACGTAGCTATTCAAATCCTACCGACGTCCGAATTCAAATATTCCAATACGACCCAAATGCTATTCCCCAAATCTCCTATATATCAGAACGCAACACCATTGGATGGAGTTGTTTATTGGGTCGAGTACAGAAGAGATGTAAGCAGGAAGGAACGGAATCATGAAGTCTTACAGATAGTGCGTTTTTATACATTTAGGTCGAATAGGAAAGAGCATCAAAGTCTGTGACATTGACAGTTTAGGATGACGACCAATAGGAAAGAACATTTGAAATGACATTGACAGTCTGGATGACTAATCAGAGACAACATTGAAGTATTTGACTTTGACAGTCAAAACGACCATATTTTTGACCAATAGGATTATACTTCCAAAAATAGTACTCTTAGGATATTTGGTGAATATCCTAACAATATATTAACGTCTTTCTCATTTGGATTTCTCTGACTTTTATTCTAACCTTGTTATTGGAATTTTAATCTATTTTTACCTGTTCAACCGTGTTCTGATTTTGGGAGAACACTTCTGGTGAATTGATGTTCGAGAATACTAAGCTTTGAGGAATAGCTGGCTTGTAATCATAAAGATAGAAGTATAACAGGTCGGAACAAGTCTCCAACTAGCTAGCTAGCTGCCTTATTAAATAATCTTGTTTTAATAATACTGTTGTTACAGAAGTTGAACAATTTTTTACATGATCGACTTGATTATCATCACATATCCATATATATGAGTATGACTACCGGTGTTTTAAAAAATTTTGACCATACTACTACTATATATCAGAAGAATCATGTGACACCTATTGTTTTTTAGGAATCTACACCAAGATCCGTTAAATTAATCGGTCCATTAGATAATATTTTACCGAAACATGTAATGAAAGTTGCACAACGCATTGGTCTACAACCAGTTGGATGGATATTTACTGATTTAGTCGCTCAAAACACCAATGGTAATGGTGTGGTTAAACATTTTCGTGGTACAATTGTAAGTTTGTTTTTTTTGTAAAATCCTATTTGTAAACAGTTTTATCTTAATAAGATGTTTTTGTTAGTGGTATTGCGGGGTCCATTTATCTGTGTGTTCGGATAGCTGCTCGGTAATTAGCTCGTCTAGACAATCGTCACGAAGTAGCTTCTGACAGTTTATAATAAATCAGAAGGCGAATTCGAAGTAATGAATACGTGTATATTTTGGACACACCACATAGCGAAGTTGAAAAGCAGCGAAAGAATTATCGAAGGAAGTGAACGGATAGACGAAGCGCGTCGGAGAAGGCTAAGAGCCGACTCAAAGAAATAGAGCATGGATAGGAATATAAAGTCAGACAAATATAAGACAGACATGCAACAAGCGAAGTAGGCACACATAAATAAAAGCGACGAATAGTTGACTAGGTCAAATGACAAGTGGACCATGTCATGTGAGCTCATCATATAAACTAGATATTAATAAGAACGAATGGTACATATAAATTGTTGCTACGTGAATGGCTTGGTTAAATAGATTAATCGAAAGGGCTTAACCAAATGAAATGTAAGCGAACTGGAATATAATATGTGGAGGCACTACAGTATGTGACTAATATTTGGAATCTTTATGGTTGAAACTAATTAACCGACTATTTCAATATTCTTGTGTTGATGTTCACAGTGAAGCTCAGATGAACCTGGTCACTGTCATTTTTAAGTGCCTAACATTGTTATTCATTAAACTGTTGAGTTCAGTTGTTAGCTACTAACTTATTCAGTTGGTATAAACATCTTGCTATTTGCTCTGTTTTATTAGGTAATGTGGAAAAACGATTTAAAATCACAGTTTAATGAAATGCAGTTGCTGACGTTTTTTTTAAAAAAAACTATTTCTAATTGTCTAAAGAATGGTTAGTCGAGTTCGCCTTTTTATAATCCCGTCGTTCATGTTTCGATCGAATCTTGATCAACTACTGAGTGGTAGCTAACTGTTTGGTGTTTGTAACCAAAGATACTAGGTTCACGAATCTTGAAGTCAAAATCAATTGTAAGGGGGAATCGACCTGATGAGTCGTGGATTTCACTGCTAGTCACATTGCATTTGTTCTGCATAAATATTATATATTAGGCGTTCGCGCACAATACCGAAGGTCCCAGGTTTGAATCCTGCAAGGTGCAGGAGGAGTCGTGGATGCGCACTGCCACCGATGACTAGTCCCATACCAGGACGAAACGGCCGTCTTTCAGTACTTCCAAGTTTCTAATGGTGGCAGTCTAACAATGATTGATCGATGATTTCAAATGTGTAAAAAACACAAACCTCCAAAGCTCTGCCCCAAAATAAATATTATAGTCTGTTTCGTAAAAGAATCTTTAAATGTATGCACTATACAAATTGCTTAATTCAGGGCTCGACTGGTTTACTTAACTAGTTCCCCAAACCCCGAATTCAATCAATCAATCAACAGTAACGCAGAGCCTCTCCACCATAGTCTGATAGTCATGTGATCTAGTTGGGTCTATCGTTGGGTTGGCTTTGAGGTCACCAGGTCAAAAACGTGTTTTTCTTTATGCTTACAGTTAGTGTTTGCCTGAAATAGGCAGTTATCTGAGCATAGCTGCAACAGATGGTCGCCATTATCTGTTCTATTAGCCGCAACACCATAAGATCCATCCAGGTGTTTTTCATTTTCGCTGAGTCTACCTACTTGTACATTAAAGTCACCAGCTATTATAACTATATCAGAGCGCTTAACATTTTGGAGAAGTTTAGAGCGGTTTTTATGAAACTTATATTCCAAGTCGTCTGAACTGCAGTTAGTGGGAACATAGGCCGATACTACGAAGAGGCAATGGTGGGTTTCCTCAAGCCGTATTAGTTGATCTTATTGAGAAGGCACTCCCCGAACCTTTTACCCATTGGTCTAATTCACAAGACAGTGGAGCAACGTAAAGATATTCAGTCCCATGGTAGCTGGTGACAAAGAATAGGTCCATATGAACCATTGGTTTGAAATGACAGTTCTTTTAACTCCTTTGGATAAGTCGTCCATACTCACTAACTTCCAGTTAAAGCGCTGGACATTTTCATGTCTTGTTCTCTCGATTTCTTAACACTTCCAGCGCTAGAAAGGATATTTAAAAAAAACTGTTATTAAATATAAAAAAATTCAATTTTTAATATCAGAAAATTAGCGTTTTTTAGCGAGTTAATTTTCCGCAGGATGAGATCGCTAACTCCATGCCCAACCTTCCTCCTTAATCTGGGCTGTGGGCCGGCCGCAGCCCCATAGGGGCTCTTCTCAGGTGCCAAGCAGTTACCCACTTCAATACAATGAGTGAGCTTTACACAAAACCCTTAAATTGATCCAAGTTAGACATTAACACCAATGGATACTGCCTTCTCTGTGATCTGAAGGTTACGTTTTCTCACTTCAAACCGAAGTTCTTGGGTTCGAATCCTGAGAGTAGCAGGAATCGTGGACGCGTACTGCTGAAGAGTTCCCATTCTAGGGTGAAGCAGTCATCCAGTGCTTCCAGGTTTTTAATACTAGTCTAACAATAATTGATCTATGATTTCAATCATGATCATACTGCAGATGAAAATGTGTAACCCTTCTTCAAGCAATTGATTAAAACATTCCTATCATTACAATATCTAAATTCACTGAGGGATCTTTATCTTAAGAGAGTACCTTTTAGAACGTATTTAAAAATCAATAATTTTTATTGCTTTATTTTTTTTAAAAAAAATTGTAATTTCAATGAATTCAGTTTGTTTTTTTCTCTTCTCTCTCTCAAATAGGATACATTTTTTCTAAGCGCTGAAGAATGTATCACTGCTGCTCATTTACAAAATCTTCATCCGAATATATGTCGTCTTAGTCCAGATGGTTGTTTCGGTTCAAAATTTACTACAGTTGTTGTCACTGGGGATGCATCGAATCACATTCATTTTGAAGCATATCAAGTTAGTAATCAAGCTATGGCTTTAGAAAAAGATAATATACTTGTACCAACTTATGATGCACCCGAGTTGGGTTATATTAAAGAAACTACAAAAGAACAATTTGTTCCAGAAGTATTTTATGCGGTATGTGTTTCGTTTTGTTTTGTGCTGTTTTGGTTTGGTTTAGTTTTTTTCTCATTAAGAAACATAATCCAATATTTGTATGCTTTTTCGGGCAGAGTTTTGGAGGTTTGCGTTTTTTTACACATTTGAAATCATCAATCGATCAATCAATCATTGTTAGACTGCCACCGCCATTTGAAACCTGGAAGCACCACTGGATGGCCGTTTCGTCCTGGTATATGGGACTACTCATCAGTGTCAGTGCGCATCCACGACTCCTCCTGCACCTCGCACAGGATTCGAACCCGGAACCTTCGATATTGTGCGCGAACGCCTAACCATCGGACTACTGGATGCACGCTGCTGATGAGTAGTCTCATACCAGGACGAAACGGCTGTCTTTCAGTGCTTCCAGGTTTCTAATGGTGTTCTAACAATGATTGACTGATGATTTCAAAAGTTTGTTTGTTTGTAAATATATATGTATTTTTTGTCAATAGTTAGTTAAGATATAAAGTGAAAAGTAGGTAGTTCAAGTTTCGACGTGAATATCAATGTTTAGATGTATGTAGTCAGTCAGTCAACAACAACACAGAACTTCATACGTACGTACGTCAGATCAAGTTGCCACATACCACATTAGCGCACAGAGATACAGTTGTCAATTCAAATCTCATAGTAGTAGAGGTAGTAGAAGTATTAGCAGTAATCGGAGAGATTAGTGTTCGACGATATTATTGAAGAAGTACAATCTAGTGAAATAAACTTAAAAAGAAAAAGATAAAGGTGATGAGGAATTCAGAAGGTTGAGATTTGAGACAACAACACAAAGAATGAATGCATCTGCGCTATTGCAAACAGTTTTGAGCTATGTTATTCAGGGTCTCTAATCATCGATTGTGATCATCTCGCAAACCCCAACCAGGTAGCCTACATCTACCAACATGATTCAGTCCACTTGTCCAGTGACTTCACTGATTTGTGCCATGTTTTGGTTTGCCCACCCCTAGCTTTCGTCCAACCTATTACTATATCGCAAAACATAGCTCGTCGAGGCAGTCAGTGGTTAGGCATACGTTACACATGTTCCAACCACCTCAACTGATGAAGTTTCACTACTTCATCTATCAATTTGCCATCCCTACCTAGAACTCGTTTCCTAACGCCGGCATTGCTTATACAGTTGTCCCAGGATACACGAGCAATGCTTCGGAGACATCAATGATCGAAGACTAGTAACCTACGAAAGTCCTCTACTCTTAACGGCCAAGTTTCGCAGCCGTACAGTAGGACGGAGAAGTAGTAGGTAGATTCATCAGACGAGTCTGAAATGGAATGTGATATGCGTATCCTAAATTTCTTTTACTATCCTAATTTTATTCAACTTATGTAAACTGTATGATTCGCATCCACCTGTTGTCATGAAATATTATGCAATGGTATATATTTAAAGCAATATAAGTTTTCGGTTACACTTTTCTTACTGTCTCTATTGTTGTATTGAGAGAGTAAGGCACAAATATGTACCAAATGTCTTATTCTAATTTCTCCGTAATTATATACTACTTGAAAAATTGTAATATATGCTTGATATACTTGAACTATTACGACTTCACTTTACTCGGTAAACGGAACGAAGATCAACGATAAAGTGACACGATAAGCTATTCTAATCCGATCGTCCCAGACCCCATTAACTAAAACAAGAAGTCTTGATAAGACGTAGAGAAATGTATTGCACAGTGTTAGTGGGACATAGATTTGATGAAAGCATGATTGCGTTGCTGCGTCCTGATTGGCTCTTTAGTATCCAGTCAGCGCTAGCCGATACTGCTGAGGGAACATTCTAGAGTCTTCTCATGTATGAAAACTTCAAATATACTAACATCTTTCTCATTTGGATTCCTCTGACTTTTATTCTAACCTTGTTATTGGAATTTCAATCTATTTTTTCCTGTTCAACCGTGTTCTGATTTTGGGAGAACGTTGCGAGTGAATTGGTGCCAGAGAATACTAAGCATTAAGGAATAACTGGTTTTTAATCAGAGAGGGAATTATAACACACAGGTACCCAGAAAGTACGAGGTCCACAAGCACACAAATCAAGCTTATTTATACAACATGATAGAAACTCCCTTCATGAGAGCCACAAAATAGCTTACTAAAATATTCCATCAACCAATGACAGTCAAGGATTTTCCAAGTGGGAAATGTAAGCTGTACGTCAACTAAGCGTCTCTTGTCGTGAAAACATAGAAATTCAAAATTTCAGTAATAAACTACAAAATTAGGACCTTTTCCAAGTGAATTCTGGGAATCTAACCACCCCAACAATAAACGTATTCACTAGTGGTGTTTTATACTCTGGTTATAACAAAGAAAACTAGTCATTAAATAATTACAACAACAATAGTCATAATACTAATAGTACTGTCTTTATCCGATTACATATTGGTTAGATAAATTTCTGCTTACTATAGGAAATTTCTCGAGTGATTCTACTTTTTTTTAAGCGAACTATATTGTATAATATCAAACTTCCTGTTGGAAATCCCTCTGAATTTACCATCCAAGTCAACTCATTTGTTTTATGATTGTCTTGAAATATTGAAAATCGAAATGAGCAGCATTTATCTTTGAATTAGTCAATGTACAAGATCCGTCCATTCGGTCAATTTTCTTTTTAATACTTTTTTCAAGCCTCAAGTGTTTTCATTACCTGACTACTTTTCTCATTTTAATTCCTCCTCTTTCATTGAATAGTTTACACACTTCCTCATTTGCTTCGAAATTTCTTTCATTATTATTGATTCGTTTTTGGAAGAAAATTACATCCTTTGTCTAGTGGTTCATGTTTCAATCACGTCAGATTTTTTGCAATTTCCACGTTTAGTTCAATAATATTTGTCAAAAAAAAATCTTACTGCTTACTAATATTAAGTAGTTAAAATTAGTTATTAAAAAAAGTTCCGTTTTAAACTTTGTGTCGAATTGGGTAGATTTTTTTTATAGATAGATTGCGCTCTATAAATGGTAGTTCAGAATGCACTTACATTCTTCCAATCCATTCATAATCATGCTTGATGGAAAAGCTTTGGAGGTTGTAAAAAGCTTTACATATCTTGGCAGTATCATTGACAATCAAGGTGGATCTGATGCAGATGTGAAGGCGCGGTTTCGCAAAGCAAGAGCATAATTTCCACAATTGGACAACACCTGGAACTCAAAACGACTGTCAACTAACAATAAAGTCAGAATTTTCAATTCGAATGTCAAGACAGTCCTACTCTCTATGGTGAATCACGAAAGCCATCATCCACAAGATTCAAGTGTTTATTGACAGTTGTCTACACAAAATACTTTGTATCCGTTTGCCAGACACTATCACTAACATTGTGCTGTGGAAGAGAACAAACCAGATTCCCGCGGAAGAAGAAATCATGAAGAAGCTCCGGAAGTGAATAGGACACACGTTGAGGAAAGCATCCAACAACTGCCTTACAAGACAAGCCCTCAAGGTCATAGGACAAGAGGAAGGCTAAAAAACACTCTAAGTTAAAAAATGGAAATGGACATGGAAAGAATGAACAATAATTAAACAGAACTAGAAAAGAATGCCCAGAACTGAGTGTAGGTAGGAGAATGCTTTTCGTTGGCGTAAGTCAGTCTGATGCAACGTTGGCGTAAGCTCCATTAGGGGGGGGAGTAACGGGCGTAATATGTACATTCATTCACATGTGCAATTGCACTTGATTATACATTGAATATCGCACGAAAAAATGTGAAATTGATCTCATTAATTCAAACCCTTACTTTTATATTATGTATCGATCAAAATTTGTGGTTTTATATACCTATATGAACCCCTAAACTAGGCTTTCATCACGCGACGTCGTAATTCTTCTTCCAACTCTCAGGGCAGAGTTAAAATGGTTTGAATTAGTTTTTCTGGTTAGCGTTTTTTTGGCAAGTTAGTTTTTGACGGAATGGGGTCACCAACCCCGTGTCCAACCCTCCTCCTTTATCCGGGCTTGGGACCGGCAGTAGCCTCGAAGGTTCTACTGGCGGAACACATTACGCCGATAAACAGAGAAAGATATGAGAGGACAGAACTGGAGAGGGAAGCCTAGGACAGAGTTGGTTGGTTGTTTAATTTTATCATAGACATGCTCCTAGAAATAACCTTATCCTCGTCTGAATTTTCAGGAGTAGACCTTCTACCAGGTGGCTTGCTTATTGACTTAAAATATGCCGATGACATAGTCCTACTTGGTGAAGACGCTGACAAAATGCAGAATCTTGTGACCACCCTAATCAACAATGCAAGCATGTTCGGGTTGCGGTTTTCCCGCTCGAAATGCAAAATTTTGCTCAAAGACTGGGTTGCATCGGCACCTGAACTAGTGATAGGGAGTGAAGTAGTCGAGCGTGTAGACCGCTTCACTTATCTGGGGAGTCTCATCAGTGCTGATGGCCTGGTGACTGACGAAATCTCAGCTCGGATACAGAAAGCTCGATTGGCTTTTGCCAACCTGCGTCAATTAATGGCGTAGGCGAGATATCCGTTTACTGACTAAAGGACGAGTGTACTGTGCAGTAGTTCGCTCCGTCTTACTTTATTGATGTGAAACATGGCCAGCGAGAGAAGAGGACATTCTTAGATTGCTTGATTTCGATCATAGGTGTCTCCGAATCATTGCTCGTATATCCTGGGACACCCGAGTGAGCAATGCTGTCATTAGAAAACGGGTGCTTGGTAAGAATGGCAGATCAATAGATGAAGTAATGGAACTTCATCAGTTGAGGTGGTTGGAACATGTGCTGCGTATGCCTAACCACCGACTGCCTCGACGAGATTTGTTTTGTAGTTTAGGAATAGGTTGGAAGAAAGCTAGGGGAGGCCAGACCAAAACATGTCAGAAATCCATGAAGTCATTAACAAGTGGACTTAGCCATGTCGGTAGTTGTCGACTACCTGGTTGGGGTCCGCGAGATGATAATAATCGATGGTTAGAGACCCT